TAAATTATCTTTTCAGCCAAGAAAAAAAACACATTATGTAGTGAACTTGAATTTCTCTAAAGCGTTTACACAGGATGCTTATTTATGTTCTGTTTTTTTAGTTAATATAGAAGAGAAAAAAGAATGCAACATTAAGCATCATAGACATTCACCTTTTTTTTTTTCTTTCTTTCTTATAAGAACAGAAAAATGAAAAGGTTTAATGAAAAGAAAGAATTCCAATATATTAAATATTTTATTCATGTTTGTTTTCAGATTTAATCGACATGTTCAATTTCATCGAAGATCATTTACTGGATGATATTTTTTTACAAACTGAACAATCACGTCTTGCATATAATTTATGAACAGAAGAATTTCGTAATCTTAATGAAAATCTTCGAACATATTTAAATGATATTAAAAAAATTGATGATAAAAATCGTCAATTACAAAATAATATCGAACAAATACGTACAAATTATATAAAAGCATTAGAAAATCATTTAAAACGTTTACCTGAAGATTTTCGACAAGAAAGTCATGTATTAGCAGAAGCACATATTGAACGTTATAAATCTAAATCGCATGCTAAACGTTTTATTAATGAACGTGAAGAAATTAAGAAAAGAATTAATTTTGTTGCTAGTAATGAAAAAGAACAGATTAAACGTTTAAATACTTTACAAAAGCAACAAAGTTTAGTTGAAAAGGAATTAAAAAATTTAAATGAACAATTACAAAATTTATATAGTTATGTTGAAAATGAAAAACAAACATATCGACAAGCAATGGATAAAGTTGATGATTTACAAATTCAACTTGAACAAATTTGTATTGAATGATCAAAAGCTGAAGTAAAAAAAAGTCGAAATTTTATTCTATGATTTTATATTCTTTTGTTTAGTTTAAAATTCAAACTTTACGAAAAGAACTTAAATTAATGCATACAGCAAAAGAATTTCTTGATGAAGAACATCAAACAATATTATCTACACAAACTGAAGCAAATGAATATTTATTATCATGTCTAAATGAATTCATATCACACATACGTGATGATTTTAATGAACTTAATAAAACTCAACTTAAACAAATGGAAAATGAATATAAACAAATGACGATAACTATAGAAGAAAATTCTTTAACTAAGGTAACTATAAATGAAACAATGATCAATCAACAGCGTTCAATACAAATAGAATGTGGAAAACTTCAAGATGAACATCGATCTATTACACAAGAATTAATAGAACTTAATAATTATAATCAAGTTTTATCTGAACAAATTCTTGCTGTGGTAAGTTTGATTTATATTTTGTTTTTTTGTTTTTGTTATTTTGAAATATTTAAATAGGAAGCTGATTTATATTCAATACGTAATGAACATTTACAAGAATTAATAATTAAAGATAATGAATTAGAACGGAGTAAAATTCAATTACAAATTTTAAATGAAAAATTAAATCATTTAGCTGAATATGATCGAAATTTAAAATTTGAATTAACACTTTATCGAGGAGTTTTAGAATGTGAATATCGACGAAAACAACAACAACAACAACAACAATTAATGAATAATCAACATCCTTCACAACCAATCACTTTACGAAAACATAAAATTTCTCCGGTAAGAATATGAAGAAAAAAGTAAAACGCTTGTTTGAATTTTTAGATAATGTTATAAAGGAGAAAATTTGAAAAAAAAACTTAGAAGGTGTCGAACACCGAAAAAATCGTTTATTTGTTTCATCTTTTTTCGCTTCGAAAATTTTTCAAAGTGTTCTTTTGTAATTTGACATCGAAAACTGTATATTAGGGCGATATCTGATTTATTTTGAAGCTAAAAATTTGTCCCGTATGACTATGACCAGCGATCCTACTAGAGTATGCTGATATACAACTTTAGAAAGCGAAAATAGAAATTTTCGATTCCAGATGTAAAATGAATATCATATTCTAAATCATCATAAAAAAAAATTGCATTGAATTACGTATGTTTCAAGGAAATATTTTTTCCATCGGATGGACTACAGACAAAATAAATAATGCTTCCATCCATATTTTCTATTTATTTTGGTCATGTCTGTAGATAAAAAACTCCGCTTAGCCTTAGATCTAACCTTAAAAGTAATCGCGAGAAATGAAGAATACTCAAGTTCTCCAATATTTACCCATTTTCTAGCATATAACAACTCATATTCGAAGTTTTTCAGGGATTATTTATCTATCGTCTGAAACTATTGTCACAATAAAGTTTCTATATCATATCGCGTTCGTCTAAAACAGAATAGCAAAGTATCGAAAACTGTTTGGGGAACATCCTCTAGAAGTCAGTGCGTATCAGAAAAGCTCAATATTTTCGTGTGATTTTATGGAGAATTGAACAGCATATCATTTGAAACCAAACATAGTTGTCTGCCTATGAACATGGATAAGATAAAAAGTGAATACGAATGGTATCATTATTTAGTCAATAACGTTGTAGAAGCACTCGTCATAGACGAACTGAACAAATTTTTTGCTTCAAAATCAATTGATTTTTAAACAATTTATATTCGTATATCAATTTGTATTAAACGATATATAGATTTTATTTTTAAAGATTTTAACAAATCGAAATGAAGTTGAAACAATTGTCGAAAAGTCTAATGCTCATGTTGATGAAATTCTATCGCCAATAAAATATTTGGATGATGAAAATAATATTCAATTGGATCATCAAGAATCGAACAAAGGCTTCGATCAAAATCAAGAAGATATAATAGAATCTACAAATAATATCTCACAAGAAATTCATCAGACATCAAGTAAAACTTTGAAATCTCCTATTCCAACAGATCAATCGTTACCTTCTGGCGAACAACTATCGCCAACGAATCATGAAGTATCATCGAAAATTTCAACATTTCCTCATGAGTCTATACTTTCAGAAGATCAATCAAAATCTTCTGGCCCTGGTCAATCACCGACCACAGCTGAAGGAGTTCAAATATATCTAATAATTGCATCGAAGGACGAGAAAGCACCACCCTCCAATTCGGTTCCAATCTTAACACAAATTCATCGCCCTTTTTCTGCAAATACGGAAGATCGTCCAAAACCGTCAAATATTTCCGAATCATCATCATCGATTCCTGTTTCGACAGGTATAGAAGTATCACCTGAAATAGAAAAGCCTTCCATTGCTTCAGCTATTTCTGATAATCAACAAGATTCTTCGAAAATTCATCTATCATCTTCAACACAATTAGAAGATGAAGAACAATCTTCAGAAGCTTATCCACCACTCAGTAAAATTCTAAAAGAAGTTCAAGCAGTATTGAAATTCTCACATATGGACAAACAAGTATTGTCAGAAGCTCAAAAATCACCGACATCACCTACTAATATTGCTACACCAAATGATCTATCGATTTCATTCGACATTAATCAATCATCTTCCATATCGCCAGAGAACCAAAAAATAACATCATACGTTCAACAATCAAAAACTACTTCATCTAATGAACAGCCATTGTTCACTGAATCAATCGGTCCATCCATCGTACTAGATAATCAACAGCAACCTTCTACATTTTCACAAGAACAACCGACATCATCAGAAATTGAACAATCTTCTATAACAGATGAAAATATTCAAGAACAAGCTTTACCTATAGCTGCTAATGAATATGAATCAATATCACACATAGTTAATTTTCTATTAGCACAAGAAGTCGATGGGAAACAAGAATTAGTTGAGCCATCAAATGATGTTGATAACGATGTTAAATATGATGAAACTGACAATGTAGTAACTATCGATGTTGATCATAATGATACCCATCAACCGACTGATTTTATTGAATCATTACCTATGGACGAACATGATATTAATCAAACTGACCGACAAGAATCATTATCATTTGATACACTGTCTTTATCACAGGAAGGAAATATAAACTCATTTGAAGACAAAGAATCAACATTAAAACAAGACGAAATAAAAACAGAAGAACAAAGTAGTTTTTCTGATCAATACAAAATTGAGGAGAATCCTAAGGGTGATTTTATCTCCTTACCAGATTATTATGGTAATTTAAATGATTCTACTTATTTAAATTATGAAGAATTAAGTAAACAATTGTTCTGTAAAACATCATTAGTTGATGTTGAAGATGATAATACTAATTTAATTAAAGGCAAATTTAGTTAAAGGAAAATATTCATTCTTTCATAGAACATATTGATTTTTATTTCAGAAGTTGACTCAACTTCTTCTTCAAAATTAGAAGAAAAAAACTCTCAAAATATTAATGAATCAAATTTAGAAAATGTCATGCAAGGTTTGTTCAGAATTTACTTATCATCATACTCTAAGGTTTTTAAAATAGATTACTTTAATTGGAAGAAAATAACTTTAAAAATAATTTTCCTATAATACTATTAGAGGATTTCTTAAGAACAATATTAAAGTGAAGGATGTGGATAAGTGTGGGTGTAGGATGTGGGTATGAGATCACTTTAATCACATTCACATCCACATCCACCCCTACGCTCTCAGCCATACTCACACCTGCTCCGCACCAACACCCACACCTCTAAAAGTAGACTTGTAAACCGTAATATTTTGGATTATTCTAGGGTATACAGGGGCCTAAATTCCGATGTGGTCAAATTCAAAATCTGTTGACCCCCATGTTTTTCGATATCCGAAAATCTTCGGTTTTCTCATGGTGCGTCTCTCTTATAGAAATTTCACAAATTCAAAATTAACTTAACCACTTGATACTGCTTTTATGTTCGGCTTGTTGCTACTGGGACATTCAATACGGTTCTTCCGATATCTTTATTTTTCTCGAGTACTTGAAGCTTCGATAAGTATCGACAGATCGAAAACTCCTCAAGGAGTCGAACATGGGTCTCTGATAGGACCATTGTCGCATGCTCGCAATCCGATAGCTGTCAAGGGGGCTCAAAATCAAAACAACGAACAAAAAACTTGTCAGTGCGGTCCCAAGAGGGACCGAAATGTGAAACTTACAAACTCTGAGTCTTATAAATTTAATACATATAGTCAGAGGTTTTAAAATAAGTTATTGAAAAAAAATATCAAATAGATAAATTAATCAGAATTATAACAATTTTGATAGTTGTACATGCGCTCTGAAATTTTCTTTAGTGGATCTGTTCATATATATAATTACTTTTCTATCAGATTATTTCATTCATTTAACATCGTGATATTGAAAAAAGTTGTTTTTATTGTCATATACATCTCTAATACATACATTCTATTTTTTAATGATATGCCAATGACGGTCGGTTACCGTTTAATAATGGCTTAACAACGGAATATTAAATATTATTCAACATTAGCATTAATATATTAATTATTAATTAATCTGTTTGTAACGATCTGTAATAGAGAAGCTCGGTGCCGTGGAAACATATCCAATAATATCTGGTTTTCGGCCATATGGTTGCTAAGGAGTCATAGGAAAGAATTCAGTTCTTATTATCCTCCGTTGCTAGGGAAATGTACTCAAGGACCTTTTACCTGTGATCTTTAACCCTGGTTGCTAAGGTCTGTAATGGCGGAGGCCTGGGAAGGTGGGTGGAAAGGGAGCCGCAAAACCTCGATTTAAAACTTACACTCACTATTTTCTTCGAAAATATATGTGAGTTCCACAAAAGTATATATTTCACATTTTCAAGCGCTCGTCACACCCATCGTATGCTTTTTATTATGTGCGTGGGTAAATTTCTTTTTCTCTCAATACAAAAAAACTTCTTTTCTTGATCTTTTGCTGAGTGTTTGCCATCGGGTTTAAGTTCATAGGGAATAGCTTGTGTGAAATTGGATATGTAGTTAAACTGTAGTTCATGAGAAACTGTGAAATAAAATAGCATCCATTCATCTATCTTTCTCTCCTTTTCAGTTGTTTTGCTGGCAACTGCTAGCAAAGTGACTGAAAAGGCAGTAGCGTCAAACTTGAAACTTGAATTCAATTGAGTTTTCAACTTTCAACTTTCAACTTTCAATGAAAATATAAACATTTTGGAGATATTGATCCACTAGTGCAGATAATCTTTATATAGTGATTGACTTTGAATGCTGATCCATTCAGATATATGTTCGTTCAACTTATCAACCCTTGCTCGACAAAATTCAAATAATAAATATCTGTTTCCTATGTCTCCTACATGTCTGGAAAGGACTGGCTGCAAAAGGACTGATCGCGACGGGACTGATGGAGAAATGAGTGGCCCGTCCCTTCGCGGCACCCACACCAGCTGCGACGTGATGCATGTCGTAGTGTGGCCAGTCCTTTCGCGGCACCCACACCAGCTGCGATGTGATGTATGTCGTAGTGTGGTCAGTCCTTTCGCGGCACCCACAGCAGCTGCGACGTGATGTATGTCGTAGTGTGGCCAGTCCTTTCGCGGCACCCACACCAGCTGCGATGTGATGTATGTCGTAGCGTGGCCAGTCCTTTCGCGGCACCCACAGCAGCTGCAATGTGATGTATGTCGTAGCGTGGCCAGTCCTTTCGCGGCACCCACACCAGCTGCGACGTGATGTATATCGTAGTGTGGCCACTCATTTCTCCATCAGTCCCATCGCGATCAGTCCTTTTGCAGCCAGTCCTTTCCAGACATGTAGGAGACATAGGAAACAGTTATTTATTATTTGAATTTTATCGAGCAAGGGTTGATAAGTTGAATGAATATATATCTGAATGGATCAGCATTCAAAGTCAATCACTATATAAAGATTATCTGCACTAGTGAATCAATATCTTCAAAATGTTTATATTTTCATTGAAAGTTGAAAGTTAAAACTTGAATTGAAAGTTGAAAGTTGAAACTTGAAACTTGAATTGAAACTTGAAACTTGAAACTTGAAACTTGAATTGAAACTTGAAACTTGAAACTTGAAACTTGAAACTTGAAAATTGAAAACTCACTTGAAACTTGAAAACTCAATTGAATTCAAGTTTCAAGTTTTACATATATGTGAAAAGGAGAGAAAGATAGATGAATGGATGCTATTTTATTTCACAACTTCTCACGAACTACAGTTTAACTACATATTCAATTTCACACAAGTTATTTTCTATGAACTTAATTCATCAATAATACATTTCATCAAGTTTCTAGTACTAAACTACAGATGGTTGATGTTGAAAACAAAAGAAAAGTCTTAAGAAAAAATGAGACAAATATCATTATCACATTTTCAACGTAATAAAGTTGGACGAAAGTCTTATCACGAACTAAAAAGTTCATTGTTTTTGGAGGAAATGAATAGTCTAGAGCTAAAGAATATTGAATAGAAATAGAAAAATATACTTCGTGTATATGTAAACATACACCAAAAGAAACAAATAATATATCAACATGTAATTAAAATAAATTCGTTATGCCGCGGCAGAGTGGCAGAGCGACATGAGGACGACAGAGCGACAGAACGACAGAGCGGCATAAGAACGGCATAGCGGCCGAACGGTAAACATTTTGAAATGTTCCTTAAAAGCACATCAAGTAATTTGCATTTTTATTTGTGAGTGTGCTGTTCCAACCTATCGACACGTGGAAACGTTTCAACGTCTTTGAGTCAGAACACAAAGAAAATTCCTTGTTAAATTTCTTTCATTTGAGTTTTTTCCCAGTCGATTTTTTTCTCTCTCGCCTATAAAATATTCAACATTGCCACTTATTTTGGCACAAGTAAACTCAAAATAACTTTCATTGCAATCAAATCGTACAATACAAGTAAGTGCTATTCATCTAATGCCTATTAAAAAACTAATGACCGTGGGTATTTTTGCAATAACTCAAGAATGGACAAAACTGCAGAGCTGCGGTTTTCATCAGTCGAAAGAGGGGACATTAGGACGTCTTTTTCTTCAATGCTATATAAGATGAAATCATTTTAAAATCAATAATTTCTACAAAACATTGAAAAAGATGCTTGAAAACAGTCTGTTATTCAGATGAAATTTTTTTTTCGATATGTAATTTAGATAGAGGCACTTCAGATCTATAGTTTAAGATATAATTCGAATGATTATCTTCAAACATCCTAATGTTAAACCAATAAACTGTCTATTTAGACTCTCGAAAAATACAAATTTTTCTTAATTTTTGTCAAAATTTGATCTGAACGACTGATCGTCTTTGTACATTTTTCCTATGTTTTGTAAAAATGGTTGATTTTATAATGATTTCGTCGTATATAATATTGGAAAAAAGATGTCCTAATGCCTCCTCTTTCGATTGATAAAAACCGCAGTTCTGCAGCTCTGTCCGTTCTTGAATTATTACAAAAATACTCACAACCATTATTTTTTTTAACAGACATTAGTTCAGAGAGATTGGTTATCGCCAACTTTATCAAAAACTTGTCAATTGCTAAAAAAGTTCGAGTGTGGGTGTGAGTAGGTGTAGATCTGGATTAGGGGTGCACCAAATTCAAATCCAGTCAAACCCAAATCCTGGGTTTGACAGGGTTTGACTGGATTTGGATTTGACTTGGACTTGGATTTGGATTTGGCTGGGTTTGACTTGGATTTGACTATATATACCTCCTACAAAGGCTGCTGTTTTTCGGCAAGAAAACTCGCCAAACCGGTCAAATCTTCGTGTCCATTAGACGCAGTTTTCTTCGCTCTATCCAATGGTGGCATCAGATTTCATCTAATCTTCCAAAAAGTGCCAAGATTTGACAGATTTTTATGCAAATTCTTGCTTTTTATTCACGTTTTTGATCAAATCCTGTCAAACCTTGGCACTTTTTGAAAGATTAGATGAAATCTGATGCCACCATTGGATAGAGCGAAGAAAACTGCGTCTAATGGACACGAAGATTTGACAGGTTTTGGCGAGTTTTGTTACCGAAAAACTACAACCTTTGTAGGAGATATATATATAGTCAAATCCAAGTCAAACCTAAATCCAGTCAAATCCAAATCCAAGTCAAATCCAGTCAAACCCAAATCCAAATCTAGTCAAACCCAGTCAAATCCAAACAAAGAATGGGATTTGGATTTGGTGCATGCCTAATCTGGATATGGGTGTGAGAGTGACTAAAGAGATCTCACACCCACACCTTCCAAAAAAATATTCCCTACATTTCTGTTGTTCATTCGCGTTATTATCAACACATTTCTGATAATGATATCATATGTCCCTACTTTGGACTAGCTAACT